TTAGAGCTGAACCCTTTGTGTCTCTCTGGCAAGATGTTCTCGAGTATGATTGTTTTTATACTACGTTTTTTCCCCTTTATTTGAGGCTAGTGAAAAAAGGAAATACAGCACAAAATACTGTTGGTGCAAATGTACCTTTCTTTATACTATAAGGAAAACAGAGTATTCCACAGCAGGCTAAATTTATGAAGATGCATGAAAAACAGGTTATCTATTTTATTTTCTTGCTTTAACTGTGTTTATCAGAAGATTGTTAGACCTTTCTTTTAAAAATTCTCAGGTGAAAACTTGTTTTAGTTTTTGTGTGTGTGTGTGTGTGTGTGTGTGTGTGTGTGTGTGTGTGTGTGTGTGTAGGATCTTCCTACAACCCCTGTAATCCCAGCGCTTGGGAGGCTGAAAACAGGAGAATCACTATGAGTCTGATCTTTGTAGTAAGACTCTGTAGACCCTGTACTAAATTTAAAAAAAAAAAAAATTAGACTGAGTTACTTCACTACCCTTTATGTCAAGTATGTTCTTTGAACTTAAGAGGCACATCCTCTCTATTCTGTAGTTCTTTCTCTGAAGTCCAAAGGAATCACATGTCAAATCTTAGTGACCTCTGTTTCTTTCTTTTTAAGTCTTCTTTTCATCTTGACCACTGATTTTTATTTACATAGATATTGTGCTTTTTGGCCCTAGTTCTACTTATGCATTTTCCTTTTTTTTTTTTTTTTGTGGTACTGGGGATTGAACTCAGGACCCTGTGCTTCCAGCCAAGTGCTTATTCTATTGAGCTATCTCCCCGAGCTCTGTTTTTTGTTTTTCTTTTTATTAAAACTAGGCACTATCCAAAGATCTATTTTAGATTTTTGCCCCCTTTCCTCACAGATAAACATAAGCTATAATTTAATATACCTTAATTTTTATCAGATGTATGTTTATCTGCATGAAATCAAAAACATCAAAAGAACATCTTTGTTTTCATTTCTAACATTTTACATATTTTCTTTTATATTCTCCATCGTTTTGACGATGAAGTTTTTCTGTTTCCTGGTCTTCTCAGTTTCCTCAGTTCATTTCTTTGCCCCTGTGGGCAGCAGTAGCATGATCATTATGAATTCCAGTGTGTTTATCTACAAACCATTATTGTCAGAATATTTTTCCTCCCTCTTCTCCTCTCTGCTCTGTTTTTCTTTGCAAGAGATTGAACTCAGGACCTTATGCTTGTCAGTCAGACAGTTATGCACCTGAGCTGCATGTCCAGCTCTGTTCTTCTCTTTTTTCTTTCACTACTGGAGATTGAACCCAAGGCCTTCATATGGGGCTATATCCCCACCCCTTTTTAAATTTGAGACAGGGTCTCACCGCTTTAGAACTTCCTAACTCTGCCTGAGTGCTGGGATTATAGGCGTGCACCACCGTGCTGGCTTCAAGATTTTATTTCTTATTGTTAATGACATTTTATCACTGGAGGGTTATAGTTATTTTCTATAATAGTTCTGCTTTATTGATATGTTATGATCACATCTAATGATTTTCTTACATAATAAACATTAGTAATTTTTTTTCAAGATATAATCACTAGAATTGGAAGTAAGGAAGATATACTTTTTTAATATTCCCCCCCCGCTTCCATTTTATTATAAATTTCATCTTTTTGGTGCCTCAAAGAAAATTAAGAGGAAAAACCTCCACCTCTTCCTTCAAATGTTACTTTTAAAATTTTTCTTTTTGATACAAATGTCTTTGCTTCTCAATTTTACTTGTAAATGATATGTTAAAAGTATATTTAATCGTATATCATTTGACATCTTTATGTCAGCTGCCTACATTTTTCTGTTGTTTTCTAAGTAAATATTTTACTTAGCTGGGTTGATAGTTTTGTTATTATATAGCTTCACTGATATTGAAGCTTAAAATTATTTTAAGTGGATTTTTTTTTTTCATTTTCATTAAAGTGGGATGTTAAGAGTTATAATGTTTTTCCTTCAGATTCTTCTGAGAATGACATTCCTATGGAAATCGCCACAGCAGAACCACAAGTTTCTGAGGCAATATATGACTGTGTTATATGTGGACAGAGTGGCCCTTCCTCTGAAGACCGACCTACTGGGCTGGTTGTACTATTGCAAGCATCCTCAGGTATGCTCAGGGATTTTTCAGTGGGGAAAATTTTAGAACCATTGTGTATACAAAAGATGAATATGTGTCTGTATTAAATGAAAGTTATAACTTTATATGGTTATAAGTACAGATCTTTAAAGATTGATTAAGCCCAAGTAATAAAGATTTTTTTTTAATTGGTTTTATCTTTCATCTCCTTTTCTTGGACATGAGCATTGGAAGAAAGTCTTAACAAAAAGATCTTGTTACATCTTTCAGTCATTTTTGTAAAGTGTAGATAGTATATTGTCAATGCTAGGTGGCCAATAATGGAATTCAGCTTTCTTGATAATTTAATTATCCTGAAATCTTTAGATATTGTCAGTTTTAGTAGTCTGACAATACGTGGTATACTCAGGCAGCTCTACTCGTATTTCTTTCTTTTTCTTTTTTTTTTTCGGAGCCAGGGATTGAACTCAGGCCCTTGCGCTTGCCAGGCAGGCGCTTATTCTACTGAGCCATCTTCCTGCCCTTCTACTCTTATTTGTTGAGCTGTTGGGAGGAGTAATTCTTGAAACAGCTTATGGATTGATATTACTACCAGTCTATCATTTTCAGGGATTTAAAACATTTCAAACTTTTGATCATTTTCCATTTTCTCCATTCTGAAGTATTTTGAAGTTGTGATCTTATACAGTCTAGTCCCAATAATTTTAATCCTTTATCAACAGAAGAAATGAAATTTGGAAAGAACTACATATTTAGATTTTCAGACCAAATGTCTGTGCTCTTGTTTAGCAAAAAGTGAAGATGTCCAGATAAAAGCCTAAAGGGGCAGATGACAGGGGAATGTACAAGAGTAAGGGTTTTGATTACAATGATGATGATGATGATGATGATGATGATGATTAATATTGAGACATGGTATTGCTAAGCAGTCCAGGCTGGCCTTGAACTCACTAGTTAGCTGAAGTTGGCCTTGAACTCATGGCAGTCCTCTTGTATCAGCCTCCCAGTTAAAGGCATGCTCCACCAGACCGAGCCTTAAAGTTTCAACTTTTTGTCTTTTTTTTTTTTTTTAATGACACAGGGTTTCACTGTGCAGTTTATGGTGGCCTTGAGCCCACTGTGCATCTTAGCTGAGCTCAAATTTGTAGTGATCCTGCTGCCTCCTGAGTGCTGGGATTACAGGCGTGTGCCACTACTCTGTATTAAAACTAAGCAGACATTAATTCAAATTTGATAATTACAAAGTGTTGATGTTAATAATAATCCCTGGAGTATCCTATAAGAGAAAAAGTGCTAAAAAAGAACCCCTAAAAAAATAAGAAAAGAGGGCCAGGGAGATAGCTCAGTGACTTAAGTGCCTGCTAGCAAGTGTAAGGTCCCTAGTTTGATCCTTGGTACCACAAAAAAATAAAAATAAAAACAAGAGAAAGGAATTAAAATGGTACACGAGAAAATGTAATATAAAGGAAATACTGACAGATGAATTAAAGGAACATACAGAAAACAAATAGCAACATTGTAGAATTAAATATTTTCTCATCAGTAATTAATTGAAATATACTGAATTAAATTGTCCAGGTAAAAGGTGGATTGACAGAATGGATTTAAAAAGTGATCACAGTATGTGCCATCTAAAGAAGTTTACTTTAGATCTAAAGTTATGGAAATAGGTTGAAAGTAAAAGGATGGGAAGATACTCCATGTAAATAGTAAAGAAAAGAAAGGTAGCATAGCTATATTAGTAAGAGATAAAACAAATTTTAGATGAAAAAATTATAAATTATATACGATAAGGAATTATATGTTGATAAGTCATTCTGTAGGAAGATATATAAGAAGTTATAAACATATATGTATGAAATAGCAGAGCCCCCCCCCATATCTCAGTTTCAAAGAAATTGACAGAATTGAATGTAGAAATAGCTAGTTCTACAGTAATATTTGGAGACTTCAGCGGACAGAATAGCTGGACAGAACATCTAGACTAATGATGAGAAGGGAACCCAAACACTTGAACAACACTAAAACAAGGCCAGGGATATGGCTCAGTGGAATAAGCACTTAATTGGCAAGCACAAGGGCCTGAGTTCAATCCCCAGTTTCACCAAAAAACAAACAAAACAAAACACTAAAACAACTAGATCTAGCCAGAAGGCATGGTCATGCCTATAATTCTGTTACTCAGGAAGCTGAGAGAGTGGATCACATTTGAGGTTAGTCTCACTGTGCCCAATTAAATACATTGTTTAATTTCCACATACTTGTAAATTTTCCAGTTTTCTCTCTGTACTTGATTTTTTTTATTCCACTATGATCAAAAAAGACTCAGAACGGTGAGGCTCTGTCTCTTGAAATTTTGAACACTTTCTTCTTCATCATACACAGTTCTAGCCTTATGTCATGCTTTCTCCCAACCCTGAACTCAGCTTGTTCTCCAGGAATCTCTGCTTCCTTTTTTTGAGAAATAGTATATTTAGGAATCAAGTTTGTGGATATGAGGAATCATACCTTCCAATCTTTTTCCAGTGAACAAACTTAAGAAATTGTATGTCTATCCATTCATCGTAACCTCAAACTCATATTTCAGTATTAGCTTTAAAAGTAAATATTGGTGTATTTAGAGTTTTACTCTGTAAAGAAAACAAAAATGCCACTTTTTAAAGAGATTTGTAAAAATATTTCAGTAATGGAAAATGTAATGTACTGTGTGGTAATTAGCCTGACTTTTATTGGTGACTCAGACCTCAGTGTTATTTAATGAGGTTTTATGTTTGTTGTTAATGTAGTTTTAGGGCAGTGCCGTGATAATGTTGAGCCTAAAAAGTTGCCAATCACTGAAGAAGAGCAGATTTACCCTTGGGACACATGTGCAGCCGTTCATGATGTGAGGCTTTCATTGTTACAGCGTTATTTTAAGGATGTAAGTACTCTAAATGAGTGATATTTTTGACTGCAAAGTTGATATAGGAGAGATTTCATATAGGAATAAAAAGGTTACATATTTCTTCCTTTTAACCTAGAGTAGTCATCCATTTCTAGAAAAATTTTTAAAAAAGATTGTTTTGTTTTATATAAAAAGGCTCTGACCTGAAATCTGAACTGGACAATTGTGTTGTGTTTCTATTAGTGATTATAAGATTTTTATTCCTATATCATTACCTCATTCACTTTCATTATATTTTATATACATATGATGTAGTCTGTAGGCTGTATGTCTTTGGAAGTTGACGACTATTTCATGTTAGATTTACAGCCACTTCCAGGGGAGGTGCATGGAGTCTGTGTTGTAAATGCTTCTTTGATTTTTTTTCCCTGAATTACTGTAGACATAAACACCAGAGTTTATAGCTTGAACAGACTGTGTAGAGCAAAACAATAGCTATTAATGGACACTAATGCTGTTAGAGAATTAGACTGTAGATTTTGCTCTATTCAGATCAAATATATGCACTTTAGAGAATTGAAATGTAAAATTTTAGTTATGTAAGACAGTACATTCTCTGTAGAACCTGGAATTTTGGGAAGATATACTATAGAGGGAAGGAAGAAACCTGAGGTTTGGAGTCAAGTAGACTTGGATTTCAACTTGGATGCTACTACTTACAACTTCTTGATTTTCATGAAATTTTTATTTTTTTGTGAAAGTGAATAACACCACCTACTATATAAGATTTTAGTAAATGTCGAAGTTGTCAAGATTCAGTGTTATAAGCACTGAACACAATGGTTTTCAGACATGTAGTTAAAGGTTCTCTAAAATATTAGCCTCTTATTAGTGGTGATTTTCTGCATTTGTAACTATGGCAAACTCACATGAGATAGATAAAAAAGCTATCCACTTTTGTTGAAAATAAAAATTTTATACCTTTTTATAATATAGTGCCAGAGAGCACTATATTGCTTATGAACTGGCTACCAACTGTTGAAAATAATCTAACACCCAAATCTGCTTCTATTTCAAGTGGCTTCAAAACATAAAACTGAGATGAGCAGGCCTCCTATGGTTTTTGTGATTTGTGATATTAGAAGCTTGCTCACTTGCTGCATTTAATTTGTACTGCTGCATATCTGTAAATTGACAGAGAAGGCATTTTATACTGGGTAGTATTTTCAACTTTTAGATATTCATGAAGTCTTGATTTAATATTGGAATCTTGTTCAAATCATATAAGATCATTTGGTCATTATACATTATAATGTTTAAATTTCTCTCCAATATAGAAATAAAGTTTAAAAGTTCACTCAGTTTTATAAGCATTTAAGAACACGATTATTTGATTGCTCTCGAATCTTTCATCATATACCGTCACTTATGTTAGATCTTGTGTTTTTTATTGGTTTGAGTCCTGCCCATGTATTAGTTACAGACTCTAAAGGGTCAGTTCTCATTCATGCCTAAATGCCAGACAACATGACAGACAATATGTGATAAAAATTCCAAGAAAGAACTTGAAAAGTCTTAAGCTTTTTTATAGGTTGAGAGGAGATCTGGAAACTCATATTGTGGTTTGAAGGGAAGGATTGATGTAGAATCCTTAGCTCTCTGATATGGTGACTAAGTTGTGATATATTTAAAGTAAGAGAAAGATTCATGGAGAAGATGACAGATTAAGTTTTTGACATTGGCTTGTATGTTGTCTGAGGCTCATGAAACTGGAGACTCCTCAGGGGTGGCAACTGAGTAACTGTGTCAAATGCTTAGACAAGGTATCTAGGCCTGTAGGGTATTTGAAATTACTAACTAAATTCTTTTTTTGTTTTTGTATGGGGAATTGGACTCAGGACGTTGCACTTGCCAGCCAGGCGCTGTGCTGCTGAGTTATATCCTCAGCCCAATTTTTTTCTTTTGACTAATTAAATTCTTTAGGAGAATAGTTCTATGAGAAAAGAATAGTACAGAGATTAGAACCCAAGGAATAAAATATTGAAGGGGCAAGTACGACAGCAGAATCATAGAAGGAGGCCAAGATAAAGAAAGATGAAAACCAAGAGAGGAAGCCAGAGAGAAGTTAGACATTTTAGAAAGGAAATTGTTAATGTCAAATGTTACAGAGAGATTAAGAACCCACAGAACATATAAAATAACAGTACTATACAGAAATATACTTTATGGGGTAGAGAAAGACTAATTCATAATTATTCTCTTTCATCATGAGCATAGGTATTTGAGGATTAAAACTTCAGTGTTCTAATTTTTACAGTCTTAAGATTGTCTAATCAGGTATAATTTCTATCCCAGTACAAAAAAATACCACATTAGTGTAATAGTGGGAAATCATGCAGAGTTAATGAGCATATAGTTAAATATGTTTCTCTTTCTTTAAAATATTTTTTTTTTTTTTAAGAGTTCTTGTCTTTTGGCTGTATCAATTGGCTGGGAAGGAGGTGTTTATGTACAAACCTGTGGCCACACCTTACATATAGATTGTCATAAATCTTACATGGAATCATTACGGGTAAGTTGAGTGGAAAAAATTTTAAAGGTGTGTATTTCCAGACATTAAACTTTTTATACCTTATACATGTCAATTCTACTTCTTTACCTTGATTTTCATATTATATCTCACTTGAACAACTGACTTTCATTGCTGTAATTTAGACTTTGGCATACTAGCTCTAAAATACTTAGGTTTGGTATCCTACAATATTTCCTTATTATATAATAATGCTTCAAATTCTGTTATTTTCCTCTCGTTAGTATATTTTAACCCTTTTTCATTTTTCCTAGTGTATTAACTCCTTGTAAGCCTTACTGTCTTGTATTATACCTGTTTACCTTTTACTATCATTAACTATTTACATGTTTCCTTCCATTTTAGACCCAGACTGATTAGACTGTAGTAGAAAAATTACTTAGTTTTTATCTAAGTGAATTATTATCACAGATTTATGATTTCATATAATTGTGGCTTATGGTAAGGTCATGGACTACATGTACATATATAAATTTCTTTTACCTTTTATGAATTCCTTCTGTTGTTCTTCCAGCAGCTATTCTGCACCTTTGCCTCCCCCATCCAAAACTCCTTCCCTTTTCATCAGATTCTGTCTTTTCTTATGTTACCAGGAAAAGTGTTTCTTTGTCACACATTCCCTTAGATTACTACCTTGTTTTCTACAATTTCTTAATAAATGACCCTGTATCCCAATTTATCTTTTCTACTTGTGGAAGAGTATATTAATAATTTCTTCTTCTGATCATGAATAACTTTTCTGCTTGTGCTTTAGGATTTCTTTTACCTCAGCATTTCAGGGATTTTGATCTATCAATATGTGAACTCTTTTTCTTCTGTATCTTATTTTGCCATCTTTTCTGTTCTTTCTTCTCAATTCATAAAGATGAACAAGTCTGTCCTATTCAGAGTCCTTTTCCGTTTTTTTTTTGAACCGGGGATTGAACTCAGGCCTTTGTGCTTGCCAGGCAAGCGCTTATTCTACTGAGCTATCTCCCTGGCCCCCAGAGTCCTTTTCTTGATCGTGCATTCCCCTGTGACTGATGTCTTCCCTTTCTCTTGGGCTCAACTTTGTAAAATTGTGTATTATGAAAGCAGGTCCACTGTATTCCTCTTTCTCTAACTTGGAAACATTTATCTTTTTCTTTTCTAATCCTTACTTCTTACATTCAGTCACTAACAAAAGTTTCATTGCTTTTAACTTACAAATCTCACTTGACTATATTCTTTATTATTCCCCCTGCTGCTTTTATGTGTATCCCTTCATTTCTCACCTTGGCTATTTTAATTACTTTCTTGCAGGTTTCTTTATTTTTAATTTATTCACTATTTCAGTCTTTGCAGATTCTAAGTTTGATGACATACATCATTGGCTTAAAAATTCTTTGCTTTTTTCTAATAGGAAAAATTTCACTTTTCTCTCAGTGGCACTCAGGTGCTGTATAATCTGGGTTTGCTTGTTGCTTTAACTTTTTTCATTTTAGCACTAATATGCTAATATTTAGTTTCTCAAGTGTGTTTTGCATTCTTATATCTCTGTTTTCAGTTACTTATTCTTCAAGTATTTGTTCAACATCCATGGAGTTATAGTCATTGGGAATACAGTAATGAATAGGACACAGATTTTTCCTCAATGAGTGTGTTCTGTATTTTGTAGATAAAAAGTTGTAATATATGTGTTAAATATTATGAAGTATACACAGGCTCTTACTGGAATGTCTGCTAGATGCGAGAACATTTGATGAAGTAACATATTTAAGTGGTGTGAGATCATAGGCCAGGTTATAAACAGCTTATGATCTGCATAAGGAATTTGAACTTTGTATAACTATTTTAGAGAAAGCCATTAAAAGTTAAGTGGATATTTAAGGTGTCTATTGTGACAGTTACATATAGAGGGCATTCCAGGGCACTAAGAAAGAATGTAGCAATGTCATTTAGGAAGTAAGAGGTAATGGTGACTTGTTCCTGGTTATGACAGTGGAGATGGAGAGAAGGTTGTAGTTCTGAAGTATGTTTAGGAGAATAGTCTTTTGGGTGGGTGAGAAATTTTATTTATACATAGCATGAAGGGAAGGAAGGAATTGACATGAGAGCTGATGCTGATCAGTGATTGATTTTTACTTGGAATCTTACATGTTAGATATTTTAGATCATTTGAATTGTGGTAGGGAGACTATATAAGCATGCAAAATTAGAAAAAAATTTAAAAAATTGAAGCATTAACTGAACCACTAATTTGAAGACAGTAATATGCAACAAAATGACCATTGTTGAATTTCTATCAT